GTGGGCATGGTGCCAGGGCTCGGGGCCACCCTGGTGCAGGTGGCCGTGCAGAGAGGCCGGTGCGTAGGGGTCGGCCGCGGCGGCGAAGGGCAGCTCGCTGTGGGCGGCAGCTGCCAGGGGGCTGCTCAGGGTGGCTGGGACCGAGGAGGGCTGGTATGTGCTGTTCCAGAAGGACGGTGGGAAGCTGCGCTGGCTCATTGGGAAGGAGCCATCTGGGTGAAAGGAGTGGGAGAGAAAGGAAAGGCAGCAATGAGCACACCCAGCGAGCCCTGGTCTCCTTTCCCTAGGGCTCTGCCCCTCTCCAGATCCCCCCAAATCAACCGTCGCATTCCCTTTATCCCCCAAACAACTGCCAAACACAAGAAATTGCTCCCAGCGAGTACAGATTCCTTTCCAGCTAAACAGCCAACACACCTAGCCCAGGGCTTACCCATGAAATGGAAACTATTTGCTCCAGGTTTCTCTTAATATGTATTTAGGGACAAGGCTGTCATCTAAGGTGAGGGAAACATCTCTTTTCCTCAGTAGTAGAAACTGAGTCAGAGCTATTATGCACCGCAGCAATTTCCAGGGTTGGATTTTTCTTGTTTGTCTACTATTACTAAATAGTAATCTCCTTGTCTAAGCATTTACCCCAGCACCTCGGAGGATGCCTGACCCTGCCAGGAGAGTGGCTGCTTCCTCAGCGCAGTTTCAAAGTGGGCAGGAACAGCACGAGATGCGACTAAGGGCCAGCTGAATTTTCTAAACATCTGGGGGCAATTCCCCCATCTGTTACACTGGACTTATGCCTCTTTCTAACATATTTGGGAAGCGTTCTGCAGATCTTTTGGGATTGGCAGGGCAAAGGACAAGGACCTGCATTTTCTTTGCCTGGTAAGCCACATGTGAGATGGACTAGTGATTATTAACAGCACAGAGATAGACATTACGCATTATCAATTGGGAATGCACAGTGTTCCCAAGACAAATAAAAACATGCTCCTGATACACGTTTGCCAGGGAGGTACGTCAGTTCTGCACCCTGGCATTACTCAGGAGAAAGGGAAGCAGTTCATGACAAGCAAAGAACTCTCCTCTCCTGCCATCAATTCCAGCACTGAGTATCTTTCACCTGTGAAATATTTAAACTACTATTTCATTCTTAGAAACTACCAACAGCGATTCATGGAGGGGCTGGGAAAGTGGCTTTTGGATGAGCGGGTGGCCCCGTGAGGGAGGGTCCCCAAAACTGCCTCAAAAGAAGTGCCTGCCCTAACTCTCTGGAGGGCGGAGGGAGGGGAAGGTTATTCCCCTCTGCCCTGGGTACCCCCACGGGCCCGTCCAGGGCGAACCAGGCATGGCTGTGGAAAGCTGCCCAGCAGCCGCAGCACCCTCGGCCTTGCTGGCACAGGGCCGCTGCCGTGGGCAGGTCTGAAAGCCCTCATTTTCAGAAATTTAGGATCCTTGTCTCTGCTCCAGCAGCAACCAGGGTGGTGATACACGTAGGGCAAGATACAGGGAGACACACAGCCTGGTTTTTAGCAGCGGGAAGCTGGTGAGATGGTTCCCACATCTGCTTTTTGCTTTGTTCCCATCTTCGATTACCACTGCGCTAGACTTAAAGCTGCTCCGGCAAGGGTCAGTAGGGGAGGCGCTTACCACAGCCACAGCGA